GAGGGAGCGCATCCTGAGATCTGGACGGCGCGAGGGAGCGAGTCCTGAGATCTGTACGGCGTGAGGGAGCGAGTCCTGAGATCTGGACGGCGTGAGGGATCCTGAGATCACGGCGTGAGGGAGTCCTGAGATCTGTACGGCGTGAGGGAGCGTGAAGTCCGAGATTCGCACGGCGCGAGGGAGCGAGTCCTGAGATCTGTACCGCGAGGGAGCGAAAGTCCCAGATCTGGACGGCGTGAGGGAGCGAGTCCTGAGATCTGCACGGCGTGAGGGAGCGCGTCCTGAGATCTGTACGGCGTGAGGGAGTCCTGAGATCTGCACGGCGTGAGGGAGCGCGTCCTGAGATCTGCACGGCGCGAGGGAGCGCGTCCTGAGATCTGCACGGCGCGAGGGAGCGAGTCCTGAGATCTGGACGGCGTGAGGGAGCGAGTCCTGAGATCTGCACGGCGTGAGGGAGCGCGTCCTGAGATCTGTACGGCGTGAGGGAGTCCTGAGATCTGCACGGCGTGAGGGAGCGCGTCCTGAGATCTGCACGGCGCGAGGGAGCGCGTCCTGAGATCTGCACGGCGCGAGGGAGCGAGTCCCTCCGACAACCGCCAGCACCACAGGCAGAAGTTATTGGGCCCAAATCGTTGCCTAGCAAAACTTCGGCTGGGAGATAATCCATTATCCCCACATTCACAGTCCCTTTCCCCGCTCCCCAATCAAGGTGTACCTTAGCGTTAGGTATCTTGTGCACATCCCCTCCCTCTACTCGAACGGCCACGGTTTGACCTGATCTCTTATGTTCTGGAACTAGGTGGCTTTGAACCAAAGTAATCGTAGTGCCAGTGTCCCTTAGCCTTTCCGTGGAGTGATGCTCGAGCCATACCTTCTGCCTGTGGTGCTGGCGGTTGTCGGAGGCTGCATATACTGGGTCAGCTTCGTGAAGGGGTCCTAGGTATTCCTCCATGGGGGCCTCCTGGTTAATACAAAGGGCACGGGCGGGTCGAGAAGGGCCAGACGAAGGATTATAGCTCCAAGGCGTCTGGTGATTGTTGAGCGGACAGCTTGCCATGAGATGGCCGGGATGCTTTCACCGATGACAAGTGGGCCGGGGACAGTCTGGGATGTTGCTGCTGGGTGGTCCCGAGTACCGGGTAGGCACCGCTGGTATAGGAGCCCTGAAATCGTTCCGGACCGGCGTTCAGTAACTTTCCCTTATTTCCATTTGGGCTGCTGGTCGGGAGTTGAACATTTCGTGCACTCGTGAATCATAATGTTCATCGGCTAACTTTGCTGCTTCGTTTAGGGTAGTGGGTCGTCGGTCTCTAAGCCATTCCTTCCCTTGTTGATCCATGCCATTGTAAAAATGTGTTAGTAAAAATAGTTGCAGTACCTCCTCAGCAATTACTGCCTGGCACCCCTTGATCCAGTGGGTGGCCGCTCTTCGCATCCTATGTGCCCATTCGCTGTGAGTGTCGTTCAGCTTTTTCTTGGTGTTTTGAAATTGCCTGCGATACGTGTGTGGAGTTACAGCGTATCGCCATAGCAAAGTGTCCTTAACCCGCACATACTGGGTCACTTTCCTCTGGGGTTAGTGTCCGAAATGCATCCAGTGCTCACCCGGATAGCTTTCCGGACAGTATGGTGGGCCAATCTTTGCTGGGGATCTGGTGAAGCGCACATTGCCGATCGAAGCCTGCTAAATACTCCTCTATGCCCGTCACATTCTCCAGAAAAGGTCTGAAAGCTGCATAGGGAATCTTTCGCCTCCTGGTCGTCTCTGCAGGGATGATCGTCGTGGTTGTTGCGAGACCCTGCTGGGCTGTAAGTACGCTGAGCTTGTGTGCTCTAGTTGCCTGTATCTCCACATCTACCTGGACCATCATGTGTTGTATCAACTCTATAGAGGGTTATCTTCCCTTTCCCCCTATTGATTTGTCTAATAAAGTATAATATTTTAACTGCTTTTTGCTATTCTCATCGACCTGTTCTTATATTGATTAGGACAGACTTTTCGTTTTCTTTTTTCAACTCTATAGAGGGGTTCCCGGACAATCCTGGTCTTTTCGTCACCAGCCATCGTTGGGGTTTCTGCCATGGTCAAGCTCTGGTCCAGCTCTGTCAATTCTGCAATCAGCTCCCTCCTAGGACGATTGCTTGCATTCCCACCTCGGCTTTCTAATAAATCCTTTGAGGTGGTGCGCTTCAGTTTATCAAAGGCTTAGATGTCCTGGTTCCCAGTCTTGGAGAGTGAGAGCGCCGATCCGATCAGCATACCGTGGTATTCCTGGAAATGTAGATATTCCCCACAAGCTATGAGCAAACCTAGTATACACATTTCCCTACAACACGAGTCGAGGCTGCGAGTTGAGGGTAAAACGAACTGGTTTAATGGGTACTCATGCACGGTAATTTATACAAGTTTTCAGACCAGAGGACAACCTCCTTGGACCTGATGGTACACTGGACAATGCAATGTCCCAACCAATAAGAGCAAAGTGCATTTTATGAAACACTCCCTGCTACCCTGGAGATAATTGGTCTGAACGGTTACAGTAACTCAATTATCTCCAGGTACATGAAATACCCACGCTTTATTCATACGAAAACAGCATAAAAATACATAACTTTCACATTGTATTACTAAAATATATTCCATTCGACCACTCTCCAGACAGCTTGGATCTGAGCGCACAGAATATACGAATTGCGCTCAGATCTCACGAATGATGTATGAAAGTCACGGAAATAAAGTCTGTCTATATGGCTTTCGTGTCCCCTTTCCCGAACGGATGGGACAACCGACACCTCAGCGGGATTCGTGCAACCCAGTGTCCGATAATAGTTCCAGGGGTTTTGACGATCAAGTCCGGCTGGGCGTTAGACGACAAAAGATGGCCGCCGCCTCGTGTTCGGCATACGAACGGCGACCACCTTGGGGATAAGTGATTAGGTTGCGGTTAACCACAGAAACCGCAACTTCATGTTGTTTAATTGAAGACACAGGGTCTGGGTGGTTGTCTGTCGGTAGTTCTTTCGGTCCTTTGTTCGGTACCCCGTTCGACCCTTTGTATACGAACGGTGGCCACCCTCATGCCAGTCAATTAGGCTGCGGTTAACCACAAACTGCAGCTCCTGGGGAGGTTGATTGTTGGCACACTCCTCGAGTAGGGTGGTCGGCCGTTCATCGGTTCATTCTGTGTTTTAAAGGTGAACGGGGTTAATTGGCGGCACACGACAAGGGCCGGGTGGTCGGCTATTCGTGCATACGAATGGATGACAAGGTTTGTTTGTATAAGAGTATCCATGTAAAAACAAAAGTATCTGTATTATATCAGACAGAGGGGGATCTCTGTAGCATGGTCGATGGGAGGGGGTGCTCTAGCGGCCATTTTGAGTAATGAATGAGCACAGGTACACATAATAAATAGACATTTTACATACGTTAATTTCTATCCATCACAATCTCACCATGGAGGTCTACTCATAGCTGAGCTATAGCTTAGAAATCTCTAATTACTTTGCTCCAGTGTAGCTCGTTGATATAATATACGGATGGGCATTTTGTCTCCATTTTTCATTTTTGTACTGGTACAGGATGATTTTAAAGTCTTCACAAGCCTTCTTTATGTGGACTCTCATAGGTTGCGACCTTGAAGTCGTATTACACTTAGAGAGCTCTATGAAGGCTTACCAATTTGGGTGTTCTCTCATAGCAGACATATGACTTTTTACTTCTACTCTAGGAGGTTATATTGTTATCATTAGCAACTTTTTGTGATTTTCCATGTATTCTAATTGACTGCATAACAGCAGTAAACTTGGGGACTGCGGGAATTCAGTTTAGGTTTTCGACTCTAATGTTCCAGCCTGACTGTCTTTTTTTATATAGACTGCTAGACACTATACCCTGAATATTTAGACATTTTAGCGTTTTTCTGATATATTTGTTACATAGCCTCTTTTTAATGCGGATTAGCTGACACCACTGTGACAGTCTCCAGGTATTTGTGTATATATACATAGGGAAAAAAGGGCTAGTCATCTGGCTTTGTTCATTATAGTTGTGGCAAAAGTGACCTCCCCACTGGTTTTTGGAGGTGCCTGTTTGCCAGCCTCCTACCCTGTGACTATGGCCCTGCGGTGAACTGGGGGTTAAAGATACTGTGGCGAAACCGACCTCGGCACTGGGCATTGGAGAAGACTGATTGCCAGCCTCCTGCCATGTGACTATGGCCCCTGGGATGTATTGCCCTTTAACCCCTTAAGGACTGAGCCAAATGTACACGTTGTGAACGAAACAAAATGTAAACAAAACCTGGCATTTGCGCTACATGTCTGTCCAACCGTAATTCACCTCTTTCATATTAAATGCACCCACCCTTATTGTATATCATTTTATTCAGGGGAAATAGGGCTTTCATTTAATATTTAGCTATGAAACATAATTTAATTTGAAAAAAATGGGAGAAAATAATTTTTTTAATTTTTTTTAGTTCTACATGACATTTTAACTGTCAATGTCATAATACTGTTTGGTTTTACTGCTATAAAATAGACATATTTGTATTCAGCAAAGTCTCACGTGTAAAACAGTACCCCCTATGTACAGGTTTTATGGCGTTTTGGGAAGTTACAGGGTCAAATATAGCACGTTACATTTGAAATTCGCCAGATTGGTTACGTTGCCTTTGGGACTTTATAGTAGCCAGGAATGAAATTTACACCCATAATGGCATACCATTTGCAATAGTAGACAACCCAAGGTATTGCAAATGGGGTATGTCGAGTCTTTTTTAGTAGCCATTTGGTCACAAACACTGGCCAAAGTTAGCTTTAGTATTTGTGTGAAAAATGCAAAAAAACGCCAATTTTGGCCAGTGTTTGTGACTAAGTTGTAATACATTTTACTGTTTTGAAACACTAATATTTGTGTTCAGCAAAGTCTCCCAAGTAGAACAGTACCCCCCATGTACAGGTTTTATGGTGTCTTGGAAAGTTATAGGGTTAAATATAGTGCTAGCAAATTAAATTCCCTTTACTTTCGGCATGGGTTGTCAGGCAGGTCCCGCTAATTGTAATTAATTAAGATACCTAATTATGTAAAAATATTACATAAATATATATGTAGAATTAATATATGTGTGTATATATATATATATACGTATGTGAATCTATATGTGTATATCTATATAATTTTTTAAAAATATTTTTATATATATATATATAGTGATATATACGTATATATTTATGTATGTAGATATATATTATTTTGTTCTATGTGTATTTTGATATAAATATATTAATATCACAATACAGTTAGAACAAAATAACACACATCTATATATTTTTTAATAATTTTTTTATTGTTTTAATTTAATTTTTTAACATATTTACATGTTAAATTTTTTTATATTATATATAAATATATATATATATATAACAATAATGATATATTTAATCAGTATCAGTCTACGTGTAATTTGATATTAATATATATATATATATATATAATTATATATATTAATAGTAAAATACACCTAGACAGTGTATGTGTGTGTATGTATATGTGTGTATATATATATATATATATATATATATATATACTTAGATCATATATATATATATGATCTAAGTATATATTTATTTTTTTTACACTAAAAATTTTATTTAAATTTTATTTTCAGCCAGCAGGGGGACCACCTGTCATTACATGGTGTGGGAGTGTCTGTGTGTATTGTAAGGATTGATTGGCTGTGTTTCAAAACCCTGTGGGCAGTACTATATTTGTGGATTGTGAATAAAAGAGGCTGTATGTGCCAGTCCAGTCAGTTCTGCTTGACCTCAAAATGAAGTGTTGTCTCGTTATTGGGGAAATTGGATTGTATGCTGATTGCCAGGAGTGTAAGCTGATTGTATGCTTTTCCTGTTCAGCTGCTTACAGCATTCATATGCTTCTCCAGTTCGGTGGTTGTGGTGTCTGCTGCAGTGCTTGAAGTCCTCCGGAAGCGCTAGGAGCATCCTTCAATGGAGGTACCCAGTCGGGGTGCCAGGTAATCCGTTACAGATACTGTTTCTGCCTCTTGGACTTCTAACTGGAACAGATTCGAACTTTCGAAGTAGTCGAAGTGGCTGCCAGTTGACATTTGAACACGTGGCAGCTGCCATTTTATTTGGTCGAACACGTTGAGCGGTGTTTTGTCGTCTAGTTCATGGAACTCAAATCGGACACACGACAGCATGAACAAAGTACCACTGAAAAGTAATCTTCTGAGGAACTTTGACAATTTGAACAAGAATCGAACGGTGTTCGGTGAGTCAAAGCCCACGAACAAGGGACACACATTGATATGTTCATTCACCAGTTCATTTGGTAATTCGAACGGTACTTTGTTTAAAATTGACCGGCTACACAGCCTAATTCTCTGGAACTGTTTTGGGCATGAAACCATGCGTGCGGTCGGTCAAAAAGAGCCTTTCAGGAATTTCCTGAACCCCTGCTCTGATCTGGGTGATTTTTGGATATGTTGTACACCGAGATCAGGGCTATGTGACTTTTGTGGGGATAAGTGGTATTTTGGGGTACTTATTGTACATGAAGATCCCTTACAATAGTCCTTTCTGCTTCTACACCTATCCCTCCCAGCCAGCTCCTACAAACCCAATCCAACCTATCGTGCCCCCTATTATCTGTAGATTTTTAAGGGTTCTTTTTGTCTTTGTAATTTTTTTGTGCTTTTCCAGTGTCTTTATGCGTCTAATTACAACTTACAATAAAATTGTGTACCATTATTTTTATACTATCTTTTTAAGGGACCTTTTGTCTTTGGGCCTTCAAGCCCATTGGACATTTATGTGTTTATTTGTATGTGCCTTTTTTTCTTTTTGACAATCTTTATTTATTTGTCGTTTTCATGTTTGTAATTGACTTTTACCCCCTTTTCAGGTTCCCTTCACACACCATCAGTCCTCTTGAGGGACTATCACTTTGTTATTTTTTATTCTCTGATCTGACTTAGAGTTCCAGGCGTGCAGCTGTTTTTCCCTGGTCTTACAAAAAGGTGTTCCTAAAGCCATGGGAAGAATGGCACCCACACATGTTATATGTCCCCAGATAGCTGTCACTGGAGCACCCACGCTGGCAAAATAGCACCCTGATCGGTGGACGGGGGGGCACAGAGAAATACCCAATTAAAGATTTACACAATCATAGCAGAGATCAAATCTGGCAACCTGTTCCATAGCGTTTCAGGGTATCTTCTGGTCATTTGCTCAATGTGCAGGAAGAGTCCAGGCAATCCCCAGAGGTCCCCAATTCCAGCTGGGAGGTAGAGTAGACGTTCCGGAGTCTGCATACCTCTTTCTCCTAACGAAAATAGCTCTTTTTTAGTGGATCTGGGGACCAGCCCATAGTCTGTGGGCTGGAGGCTGTCCTTCACATGTCTCCAAAAGGCCCTGGCCCGGAAGCGTCTGTCACAGTGGGAGTGAAGCAGAGCTGGAGGAGGGAGTAGAATGTTTCCCATTAGGAGAGAGCAAGAGACAGGTATGTTAGATAGAGGTTACTCTGGGAGGCCATAATCTTTCCTGAAGAGATGGGTTTAATGACACTTTTTAAACGATTGAAGACTAAGGGAAAATCTCATGGCGATAGGCAGTCTATTACAAAAGAAGGGAGCCGCTGTGAGAAGTCTTGCAAGTGTGAGTTGGCCGTGCGAGCAGCGGACAGGAGAAGACCATGGGCAAGGCAGAGAGATCGAGAAAGGGGATACCTATGGATCTGTTAAAAGATGTAGGAGGGGATAGAATTGTTAAGTGCTTTATAGGTATGGGTTAGTACAGAGGAGTGAGGTGTAAGAGGACCGACTGGAGAGGAAAATCAGTCTGGCGGCAGCATTCATTACAGACTGTAGCGGGGCAATACGGCTTTTGGAAAGACCAATTATGAGAGGGTTACAATAATCCATGCGAGAGATTACTAGAGCATGGACAAGATCCTTAGTAGCATCTTGTGTAAGAAAGGTACGGATGCGGGCTATGTTTGTAAGGTGAAATCTATAGGATTTGGTAACAGACTGGATGTGAGGCTCAAAGGTGAGGCCAGAATCAAGTATAACGCCAAGACAGCGCACTTGCAAAGATGGACTGATGTGGATACCACTCACTTGAAGGGAGAGCAAAAGAGGAGGATCAGTATTAGGAGGAAGAAAGACACAAAGCTCAGTTTTAGAAAGATTGAGTTTCAGAAAGCAGGTGAACATTCAGTCGCAGATGGAAGAAAGGTAAGCAGTATAAAGAGAAAATAGAAGGGGACCAAGGAAAGAGCCTTGGGGGTCTCCAACCGACACTGGATGAAAGGGAGGAGGTATTATTAGAAAAGGAAACACTGAATGAGCTTTGGGAGAGAGAGGATGAAAACCATGAGAGGACAGTGTCACAGAGACCGAGTGTTTGAAGAGTTTGAAGAAGGAGACCATGATCAACCGTGTCAAAGTCAGCAAAGAGGTCATGAAGCTATAGTACAGAGTATTGGCTTTTGGATTTAGCTGTGATAAGGTCGTTGGTAAGTCTTACTTCAGCAGTGGGGAAGGTAATGGAAACCATGCTAAAGCATAGGATTGTTGAACATCTAAAATCACATGGATCTCAGGATCAGAGACAACATGGGTTTACTTCAGGGAGATCATGCCAAACTAATCTTATTGATTTTTTTTGATTGGGTAACTAAAATAATAGATCAGCGTGGTGCAAGTAGACATTGCTTACCTAGATTTCAGTAAGAATTTTGACATTGTTGCACATAGAAGGCTTATCAATAAACTGCAATCTTTAAGTTTGGATTCCAATATTGTTGAATGGGTTAAGCAGTGGCTGAGTGACAGGCAACAGAGGGTTGCAAGCGGCAGGCAACAACCGAGAGCATCATCACCAGTGGGTCACCATTGAATGGACGCACGGGGCCTGAGAGACACGGGCGCCACCCTAACGTTGATACAACCGCACAAAGTTTGTGCTCCAGCCAGCAACCACAAGACAGTAGCCAAAAGGGTGGCAGGAGGGGCCATCCATAAGCTTCCCACTGCCAGGTTGCACCTCAACTGGGGCTCGGGAGACAAACACCAGGAGGTGGGCATAATGAAGGAGCTACCAGCCGAGGTGTTATTGGGGAATGACTTGGGCTGTCTAACCTATCAGCTCACACACACCCACCCAGCAGAATCATACCCGGTGACCACCAGATCACAAGACCGCAGGGGGGAGGCGGCACACTCCGAGGAGCCTCAGGTAGGATCTTTTGCCCCTTCCTTAACAGAAGCCTCCCTCCCATTCTGGGATACCCCCCAAGGTTTTGAGCGGGAACAGAGGGCCGATCTGTTCTGGAGTTTTGGGACCGATTGCAGACGCTCACCGGGAGAATCTGCAGGCGGCCCAGCGACGCCAGAAGAGATGGTACGATAGAGGCGCCCGAGATAGGATTCTAGAAATAGGACAGAAAGTATTAACGCTGAAGCCGTCTAAGAAAGTCAAGCTTCAGGCCTCCTGGCAAGGACCTTTCTGGGTAGTGGAGCGTATAAGCGACACTACCTACATAGAAGTGAAATGTTCAGATCAAAGGATATGGAGAGACTGTGAACATGCTCAAGCCCTACTTTGAGCGGGTGGAAGATGTAGCCGCAGTATGTGCCCCTGCATTTGAGGATAGCGGGGGCCTTTCCCTACCTGACTTGCTCACATCCACCTCTAGTATGATCGACCAAGTCAGACTAGGTGACAGAGGCCTCTCAGCTGCTTCAGGGATACTGGGAGATGTTCTCCGCCATACCCGGATACACCTCCGCTGCGGTTCACAGAGTTGAGACCCAGAGAGAAACCCCACTACGACAACAACCATACGATATCCCTGAGGCAGTTAGAGAGAATATGTTGGCAGAGATCCAGGAAATTTTAAAGCTGGGAGTCATCGAACCCCTTCAGAGTCCTTGCCTTTGCCGGTAGTGCTGGTACCCAAGAGAGATGGCACGATTCACTTCTGTATCGACTACCGGAAGCTTAATGACAGGACAGTAACCGACGCCTACCACATGCCCAGGATAGACGAGTTACTAGATCGTATGGCTGGGGGGAATTCCTTGACTACCCTAGATTTTATGCAAAGGATATTGGAAAATCCCCCGGGAGCCAGCAGCCATTCCTAAATCAGAATTCGTTACCCCATTCGTGCTATACCAGTTTAAGGTTATGCCCTTTGGGATGAAGAATGCCCCGGCTACCTTTCAGAGGATGGCCGATAGGCTCCTGGAGGGATTTTAGGACGCTGCATGCGCGTATTTAGATGATATTGCCATCTACAGCCGCACATGGGGAGACCATCTGGAGCACCTATCTAGGGTATTGAAGCGAATTCAGGCAGCGGGTCTCACTCTGAAGCCTGATAGTGCCACGTCGGTACGGCCGAGGTACAGCATCTCGGCCATAGGGTAGGTTCAGGCAACCAGCGACCTGAACCTGCCAAGGTAGAATCTATTGCTAACTGTAGTGAAAAACAAGATATAGTTTATACAACTCCGTAGAAAAGTATAAAACAACAGGTGATATAGAACATAAAATATATAGAGGATACAACTTGAAATAAACAGGATGTAATAATAGAGACCTGAAAATATAAAATCACATATAGTGTAGTATATACAGATAAATGGCTAAATCCAGGAGGTAGAGAACTTTCAAGAGAACATAGATGTTCTGCACATATTTCACCTCAGGGGTAATCTGTAAGGTAGTGGAAAACTTCTTCCAATAAACTGAGTCCTCAGAAGGATAAAAAGAAAAGTGCAGATAGTGTAATACTGTAAAATGTAACAAAGATGTATTCACTGATTGCACTTACATCAATGTTGAAATCAACTGGCATATCTCCACTAGCAAGCGGGACAAGATGGTGTTTTCATCAGGCAGGGTGATGTGACAACAAAGTTGTAATAAAAACAAAATAAAAATTTACAAACAAAATAAATGTAGCAAATAAAAAGGAACTTCATAAAAGAAATGTCCAGATTGCAGATCCAACGCGTTTCGTCAAGACTTTGACTTCTTCAGGGATGTAGAAGATGTGGAACTTTGCTGCTTCTTATACCGGTCTACGGAGGGGACACAGGTGTAGTCTACCAGACAATCTGCATTCCACCGTGGTGTGAAACACTTGCGGATCCGGCGTATACACAATTCATGTGGGTGTGTAGATTCCAAACATCTGGTTTTCGGATTACTGGTGAGGTTCATTTCCGCGTTCCTCCATGGAACGCATAACTGGAAATGATGTCGTAAAAGTCCATAAATCGTATATGTGGACAATGTATTTCATATACCAGAGTAGATTAAAAAAAAAAAATATATATATATATATACATAATTCAAACATATATATCTGAATGAATGAGCTATGGACATCCCAGGTAAAATACCTATATGGGTATTAAATATAGAGGATGATAAATGGAAACTAAAATGTAATGAATGAAAACCAATATAATTATATAATGATAATAATGGAAATAAAATGGAAAAATACAATACTAAAAAAATTGAAAAGACTAAAAATCATATGAATATGAAAAAAAATATATATACAAAACATATGTATAAAAATAAATTAATATAAATAAAAATAATAAATATGAAAATTAAAATTTTAAGGAGCAATCCTTAATAATTAAAAATAGGTACTTAGAAAAAGGGTATAATAAAGATGTGAAGAAATTTCCCTATTTTGCTTCAAAGTGACAATCTGCATTCACTTGTTTTCTGTTATGTTTCCCTATGGCATTTGGTAGATAAAACTACCTAATCGAGACCACCCCGTTCCCAATTATGAGTATTTTACCTCCCAGCTTGATGGGCATGTTTGTCAAAACTGTATGCATCGCTGCCATTTTGGGACTTCCACGTGTTCACGGCCATTTTAACTCCCGAACAGCGGTGTTTGCCGTCGAGTGTCTGGAACTGAAATCGGACACTCAAACAGGCGAACACCGCTGAATCCTCCATACCTTCGGGAGGACCCCGCCAAAACTACCGAATGACCGGGCATTCGGTAGAAAGACTTACTAACGGATGGGGATTTCAGCGAACCCCGGATGGCTTCTGGATGGCCAGCCGTTCGGGAGTTTTTACACGCGACCTAAGACCGACTGTAGGGCCAGAATTCATGGAACTGTGTTTGGCTACTTTGCCCGTGCAGTCGGTCAAAACTTATAAGTCCCATATCTCCCGAACGGCTGAACCGGCTGATTCTTTAATATGTTGGTCCCCCAGAGTTCAGCTATCTGGGGATACCAGATTTATACCTGTACCCCAAGTATTTGGGGTACATTCAGACTTTGGGGAAAATGTGTTCTGTTTTAATTGTGTTAATTGATTATCTGAGGGGAGGAGATGTACAGTATGTGTATTGTCAGGATTGGTTGTATTGTTAATTATGAGGGAGTCTCCCTTGCATGGGCAGAATCCCATAAAAAGAGAGTGTCTATCAATAAATCTTTAGTTCATCTTTGCACCCTTCTTCTGACTACGACTGATGTTTGGGAATTTGTACTGTTACTGTTTGTTGTTACTGAGGGAATTATCCAGTGACACTATTGGAACTACACTAGGATTCGTCTACCGAACGGAGGGCTATATTCACTGGGCTCTAGCGGTTTGGGAGGAAACTACCGATTGAGGTTTAAATGTACTTGGTTTCTTTACAAAACAAAAGATGGAAAAAGAGGTAATACAAATTAAAGATAGAGACCGTTCGGAATTTCTGGTTGATAAAAACTAATGTGCAATTTGCGTTTATAACTAAGTATAACATACATGCCAAGAACATTGAAAGGATTCTCAATAAACATTGGGCAATTTTAAAAAAAAGATGACATTTTAGGGAATGTCATTCCTGATAGACCTTTGGTTATTTACAGAAAAGCAGATAATCTGAAAAGCCAACTGGCACCCAGTCTTTTACCTGTGCAATTAAAACATACTGGTAATTTTCTACAATCCTCAAAATCCCCTGGTTTCCATAAGTGTTTCACAGGTACTTACCAATAACACATATTCCATCAAACATTTTATACTCTGTTCATCCACATATACCATTGACCTGCTTCAATGTGGCTGTGGAGCCCAATATGTGGGAAGAACCACTCGCAAACTCCACATCAGATTCCAGGAACAATTTAATAACATAAAAACCAAAAAACTAGATCACAGTGTACCCAAACACTGTAATACTTGTGTTTCTTTTAATTGGTATACTCTCATTGCTATTGGCATAGACAAAATGGAAAACCATTGGAGAGGAGGAAATAAAATGAATGAGTTAGTCAAGAGAGAGGCCCAATGGATATACAATTTGAAAACTCTTAAGACCGGCCTAAATCAATTTATGGTTCTTCGGATTCCTGCTAGATGTTTTTTTTGTTTGAAAAGAATCTAAACTGGACCCTTTCACTCTACTTATTATGTTTCTAGTTGAAATGTCTGTTTATTACAGTGTGATCGCTAACCATACTTTTTCTTACTTTTAGATCATTTTTCTTACTTTTTTAGAGATTACTCATAATTGGTTAGGATCCATTCTATTATATGTACATATTTGAAGGAATGATGACATCCAAGGAATCACAGATAATACCTTCCCCCCTTTTTCCCCTTTCTCCATTTATTATGTATTTTCTTTTGTATTTTCATTTTTTATTTTATTTTTATATTTATATTTTTAAATTTATTTTTATTCTTAATTTAAATTTTTTATTCTTATTTCATTTGTATTTGCATCCATTTTTATTAGTCATTTTTTAATTTTTATTTTCATATTTATTTAGATTTTTGTATTATTATTTGTATTTATTAAGTGTTCTTGCATAGCAAGACCACTTAATGTTATCTCACATATATATTATTAAGTGTTCTTGCATAGCAAGACCACTTATTGTTATCTCACATATATATTATTATTAAGTGTTCTTGCATAGCAAGACCACTTATTGTTATCTCACATATATATTCTTATTAAGTGTTCTTGCACCTGCTAATGTTTTTATAAATGTATGGTTTAATGTAACTGTGCAACAACGTTGCAATTAAATGTGTTATATAAATGATAACAGTTACTCGCCCACTCCAGTTGTAGACTACTGGTGGAGGCAAGAACACTTCACACAATTTCCCCAGAAATTGTAGCTTTTCTAGTTATTAAGTGTTCTTGCAAGAACACTTATTGTTATCTCACATATATATTATTCTTATTATAGCCAAATTTGCCACCCTAACTCCTCCCACAGTTTTTACACTACATAGACCAAAATTTACCAAAACGTGCAGATTGTTCCCGATCGGATTGCTATTACTTTGTGGAACGTTTCGCCGAATGGTTCACGGAATATCGTCGTTTTTGTGGTGCAATTTGTCCCATAGGAATGAATGGCAAAGCTAGAGTGGGAGCTGCCAAAAGCTGAAAAATCAGGACATGATTTCTAAACTGCCACCACTCCCTTATTTTCAGGCCCACCTACACAAATCGTTCAGCTATCCCTGCTGCCACTAAACATTAAATGTGCTATGTAAATGATAACAGTTACTCCGCCCACTCCAGTTGTAGACTACAGGTGGAGGCAAGAACACTTCACACAATTTCCCCTGAAATTGTAACTTTTCTAGTTCTTATTCTTATTATAGCCAAATTTGCCACCCTAACTCCTCCCACAGTTTTTACACTACATAGACAAAAATTTACCAAAACGTGCAGATTGTTCCCGATCGGATTGCTATTACTTTGTGGAACGTTTGCCGAATGGTTCACGGAATATCGTCGTTTTTGTGGCGCAATTTGTCCCATAGGAATGAATGGCAAAGCTAGAGTGGGAGCTGCCAAAAGCTGAAAAATCAGGACATGATTTCTAAACTGCCACCACTCCCTTATTTTCAGGCCCACCTACACAAATCTTATATCAAAACGTTCAGCTATCCCTGCTGCCACTAAACGTGTCAACGGCTAAGCCATTGTCCTGATAGTTTTCACAATATAATAATTTGTTTGCAACTAACGCCGTCCATTGACATTCATTGAAACTTCACTCTACAAAGCTCATATTTGAAGTGCAATTTCTAAACTGCGACTGTGCCTTCATTTTTAATACTTCAGAGACATACTATGCATCAAAATGTAGGTCTGGGCCTTGTGATTCTCACAATATAAAGCTCTTCGCTGTAGGAGTTATAGTTTTTAAGATACGACCGTTTGAAGATGGCAACCACCAAAATACTCTGACCTGTGTCAAGCTGCAGCAGCAAGTGATGTCATAGACAGGGCCTTTTGAACACCTGCTAATGTTTTTATAAATGTATGGTTTAATGTAACTGTGCAACAACGTTGCAATTAAATGTGCTATGTAAATGATAACAGTTACTCCGCCCACTCCAGTTGTAGACTACAGGTGGAGGCAAGAACACTTCACACAATTTCCCCAGAAATTGTAGCTTTTCTAGTTTTAATTTATTTTTATATTTTTTGTATATATATTTTTTTCATGTTTTTTCATATTCATATGTATTTTTAGTCTTTTCATTTTTTTTAGCATTGTATTTTTCCATTTTATTTCTATTAATATCATTATATAATCATATTGGTTTCCATTCATTACATTTTAGTTTCCATTTGTCATCCTCTATATTTAATACCCTTATATGTATTTATCTGGGATGGCCATAGCTTGTTCATTCAGATATATATGTTTGAATTATGCACACACACACATATATATATATATATATATATATATATATATATATATATATATTTATCTACTCTGGTACATGAAATACATTGTCCGCATATACGATTTACGGACCTTTTACGACATCATTTCCGGTTATGCGTTCCACGGAGTAACGTGGAAATGAACCTCACCAGTAATCCGAAAACTGGATGTTAGGAATATACGCCCACATGAATTGTGTATACGCCGGATCCGGAAGTGTTTCACACCACGGTGAAATGCAGAATGCCCGATAGGCTACACCTGTGTCCCCTCCGTAGACCAGTATAAGAAGCAACAACGTTCCACATCTTCTACATCCCTGAAGAAGTCAAAGTCTTGACGAAACGCGTTGGATCTGCAATCTGGACATTTCTTTTATAAAATTCCTTTTTATTTGCTACATTTATTTTGTTTGTAAATTTTTATTTTGTTTTTATTACAACTTTGTTGTTACATCACCCTGCCTGATGAAAACACCATCTTGCCCACTTGCTAGTGGAGATATGCCAGTTGATTTTAACATTGATGTAAGTGCAATCAGTGAATAAATCTTTGTTACATTTTACAGTATTGCACTATCTGCACTTTTCTTTTTATCCTTCTGGGGACTCAGCTTATTTTTAGGTTTTCCACCACCTTACAGATTACCACTGAGGGGAGATATGCGCAGAATATCTATGTTCTCTTGTAAATTCTCTACCTCCTGGATTTAGCCATTTATCTGTATATACTTCACTATATGTGATTTTATATTTTCAGATCTCTATTATTACATCCTGTTTATTTCAGGTTGTATCCTCTATATATTTTTGTTCTATATCAACTGTTTTATACTTTTCTACGGAGGTGTAAAACTATATCTTGTTTTTCGCTACTTTTATGTGTGTATGTGAGGTACACTTTCCCAGGTGATAGTGCTGTTTGTTGTTGTGCGCTGTTTGTTGTTGTGCCACATATATAGTACACCTTTTGTTTGCTATTGCTAACTGGCCACAACCCCGTACCAAGACCCAGGTACTAGCGTTCCTAGGGACAGCGGGCTACTACCACAAGTTTGTTCTTAGAGTACAATGCCCTGGCCAAACCTCTCACCGACCTGACCTGTCCCTTCCCAGACAGGAAGCCTGGTCCCCGGAGTGCGCGGCCGCTTTCCAGCAACTAAAAACAGCACTGATCAAGGCACCTGTGTTGGCCGCCCCAAACCATACTAAACAGTTTCTTGTACACACAGATGCCTCCATGTTTGGTCTGGGAGCCGGGTTAAGCCAAGTGGGAGATGACGGGATGGAGCACCTGGTGGCATATCTCAACTGGAAGCTATTAACCAGAGAGGTCAATTATGCCACCGTTGAGATAGAATGCCTAGCTCTCGTGTGGGCATTAAAGAAATTGTAGCCATACCTGTAAGGCCGTCTCTTTATGCTAATGACTGATCATAACCCCCTTATTTGGTTAAACCGAGTTGCTGGAGACAATCCCCGTTTGTTACGCTGGAGCCTGGCCCTGCAACCCTACAATTTCCCCATGCAGTACAGGCCAGGCAAACAGAACGGCAATGCTGATGGTTTATCCCAGCAAACGGAGTTGGAACCTTGACTGACTTCCCCAGACATCCTCAAGCCAACCCAGCAGGGTCTAGGCGGGTATGCCGACCCATGGAACTAGGGGGGAGCAATGTGAAAAAACTACCCCTGTTATTTCTGTACTCTTGTTTTTCCCTGTTCAGTAGATACACCGACCACCCCCCTGGCTCATTGACTTCAAAGAAACCTTCCAATTAAGTGCTCTCTTTGTGTGGCCGCCGTTAGTATAGCCGAACTCCACGTGCAAGAGAAAATGGCGGCCAACTTGTTCGCACGAACAGAGGCAGCGGTACTTGGTCGTCGAATCTCCTGAACCAAAATCGGACACTCGACTTCCCGAACGCCGGTCAAACTACATGAACGCCTGCTTCCTTTCACCGACCAGCCAGGAGAGCACTATACGGTAGATTTGTTCCCACGAACTAGGGGAACAAACGCTACCTATAAGCCAGGGGAACTGTTCATGCATTTATTCGTTGTTTTTTTGTACTTTGCGAAATAGACCGACCGCACTGCCCAATTCATGCAATTTCTGGGCAGGAGAAATTAAGACCTCCATTTAACTGTTGAACCCCTGCACCGATCTGGGTGATTTTTGAATATGTTGGTCCCCCAGATCGGGGTTATCAGAGGAGATGACTGTTGTTGGGTTCCCATGGAGTTTAGGGTACTTTCTGAGATTTATGGAAATGTATGGTTTTTGTGTTGGGAGAAAGTTGTTTAGTAAATTGCTTGAATCAATAATCTCCCTAGTACAGGGGACGGATTATATTATTGTCAGTGGGAGTGTCCTGGACCTGAGAGCCAATGTACTTGCAAAATGTATTTTGTCGCTGCCTTCGTGGTTAAAGATGACTGCCACCACATGTATGTCCATACGAACGGCGGCCACCCAGCCGACCGCTTCATATGTTACGAAGGTGATAATGGCGGTTAAGAAGGTCAATGAGCGGCACAAAACTGCTCTGGGTGGTCTGTCAGTTCGGTACTTTGTTCGGTATACAAACCAAATGGGATAATCTGCTTGGTGATGTTTGTATACTGGGCCATGCAATGAAAATATAGTCGTCTAATGATTCCAGGTACAGGGTGATCTGTCACAGTGCTCCCCCCATGTGGAACACTGCGGCAGATCCGGCTTGACCTTCTTCGGGTCAGCTTGAGGATGTCTGGATTTCCGCTAATTACTGAGCTCTGTTTGTCGGGACAACCCATCGGCATTGCCATTCTGCTTACCGGGCAAGTCGTGGATAGTGAAATGGTAGGGTTGAAGTGCCAAGCTCCACCGCAACAATTGGCCATTGTCGCCTGCGACCTGGTTAAGCCACACCAACGGGTTGTGATCAGTAATCAGCGTAAATTCCCATCCGTATAAGTAAGGAGTCAATTTCTTCAGGGCCCACACCAAGGCGAAACATTCCTTTTCTACTGCCGCGTAGCTCACCTCCCAGGGTAATAGTTTCCTACTGAGATACACGACAGGGTGCTCTCCATCTTCTCTGATTTGGCTTAAAACTGCCCCCAGCCCAAACATGGAAGCGTCTGTGTGGACAATAAAACGTTTGTTAGGCACTGGGGCAGCCAATACAGGGGTATGAGTCAATGCTTTCTTTAGGGACTGAAACGCAATGGATAGAGGTTGTTCGGATGGAAATACTCCCAAAATAGCGCCTTGTTCGTATGATTCCAGTCGAACGCACAGAAGGTAGAAGTTCAGCGGTGTTCGTGGAAAAAGGTAGCCGAAATTAGTTCCACGCGGTCGATGACCAAACAACGCTGAGTTCGTTCGACTAGACAAATGGCCGCCGCCACATGTTCGCACAGATGAACGCTGACCACCCTATTAATCCCTTAGAATGTTGAGGTGTTTGCGGTTTTTACAGGTCAAGAGAGTTAATTGGTGCCACATTCTTGCTCTGGGTGGTCGGTCGTTCGACAAAATATTTGGTATTCGAATGGTTCTGGCCAAATACACGATCAGTCACTTTGGGTGAATGCAAATAAACAAATGGTTTTTGTTCTCAGTGCCATGAGGCAAATATAGGGACTGAAAAAGGGGGTTTTGTGCACACAGTTGGGCTAGGGTTTCCAGGCAATAACAGGGGTTCTGTTGCATTCTGTATTACTGTTATTTATTTTGGGTTTTTGGGAGAGACTAACCCGTTTAGGTGTGCTGCCTTCACCCACCTCTAACTCAGCGCTATTCCACTACTTGTTTTTCTTTTTTTATAATTCTTTATTTTGCAACGGTATGGAGTAGGCAATGTACAATGTGTGGCTCGTGCAAGAGCCCATTCGTTTTCCAGGTGTTAATTTTTCAAGCATAAATACATTACAAGATATGTTCCGGGTTTGATGAAAGAATTCCCGAAGATGAGGGTGTGTGGAGAGAAAAACAAAGTCCAACTCCCACAACACACTCAAGTAGGGGTGTGCCCACTGAGGAAATATATAAAATCCCCTGGTGTTCTTAAAGTAAATATAAAAAATAAAAAATACTTTATTGAAAACCTATATACAAGCTAAATAAAATACATGGGGAGATGGCTCACGGTCCGTGAGTCTATATTAGTGCAATCGGAGGCCGCCTGGTAGATACAGCAGAGAGATAACTGTATGGCAATATTGTAAGTCAATAACTGCTTGGAAATATGTATACTAAAGAGTAACATGTCATAATAAAGTATCCATAGTGTAACATATTTCAAAGGACCCTTAAGTAAGTCAGGATGTCTGCGTAGAATGTACTCAAACCGCTATTATGGGAATAACACCCAGTAAGTAAGGTGTAGCTCCCTGAAGTTTGTAGCAGGTTATAAGCCTGTTAGATAGATGGTAAATCAATCGAGCAGAAAAGTGCTGACTCCACTAGTGAGATAACCTGGGATCAAAAGTATATACGTTCAAAGATAGAGAGAAGTAAATTTAAAGAAATTCCTCCTATGTATAGAGATACCCAGGTAACTCAATTCCTCTAGAGAGTAGTCAGCCCCACATTTCAAAAGTGGTATAATGTCTGCAGATTCAAAGTAAATAGCAACATAAAGAGTAGATTGTTAGAATGTTGTCAAATCTCAACAGAATTCTATATACCCTAAAGTTGTTGCTTGAAAACAATACAATGTTGCAGTAAAGATGAACTGATTGCCCAATATTACAGGATTTCCCCTGCCTCCTATGTGAACAGGAACAGCATCTCACAGCCGAAAAGCACATCACCCCCAGATGACCAGCCCCATGTAGTGAAACAAAAGAGAAAATCTATATATATACAGTGAAAATGAAAAGTTCTACCCAAAACCTAAAAAATAATAATGAAATAAAAGAAAGTGTACTAAATATATATATGAATCTAACTATATGGAGCGGTAGCTCAAATAATTAGAGGAAAGAAGTCCGCCTAGATCTAGAAATCGAACGTAGAGGACAAAATGAAAAAGTGACTCGCTAGACTAAACTTCTAAGTAGATCAAACTAGCTAGCTATATTGGTATTGAGCTTCCAGCTCAAGTAAATATAGTAGGTAAAGTCAACAGAGAAACTAACTAGGCTGGAACTTCTAGCTACCTAGGATCTAAGTAAAAAAATCGACGCGCGTTTCGGCGCTATGTGGCGCCTTTTTCAAGAGTGACGAGGGAAACCCCTCGCCGCCAAGGTTTATAAAGGGCTAGTGCCCGCCTCTCCCGTGACGTCATGGCCAAACACATGAGGCTGCGTCCGGGTTTGATATGTTTAAACTACATTGCTACTTTCATCCATTGTCTTTTTACAAACGAAGAACAAATAAGTATTGTACAACAAGGAATGGAAACAAAAAAAAAATAAAAAATGGAAAGAACTGAAGGCCGGGGTACCGGTCGTCTCGGCCTAACTATGGTGGTTGAGGGGGGAGGATGGGTGTAGAGGAGAGAGGGGGGGGTTTTACTTCGGTCTGTCGGTTACATTTGTAAGTTCTGTCGGCTATCCCGTCGTCATTGGTCACTATACGTTTCCCAGGGTTCCCATGTCTTGGAGAAGGCCTTGGAGGAGCTTCGGATTTGGGCCGTGAGTTTGTCCATGAGATGGCATTCTTTGATCTTGTTGATCACTATTGCCACTGACGGGGTGTCTTGCTGCAGCCAAGTTTGGGCTACTGCTCTCCTGGCTGCTAGCGCTATTTTATTGAGGAGTTGTTGGTTTGGTTTGGGCCAGTCCTTTTGGGGTCTGGCTAGTAGGAAAGACCATGGGTTCAATGAGACAGGTCTGTCTATGATTTGGGTTGATAGTGTTTGTATGGCTTTCCAAAATGTTTGAATCTTGGGGCAGTGCCACATGTGGGCATATGTCCCTTTCTCTCCGCAGTTGCGCCAGCAGAGGTCTGTGGGTGTTTTTTTCATGTGGTACATGAAAAAATCACCCCAGATGACCAGCCCCATGATGACCAGCCCCATGTAGTGAAACAAAAGAGAAAATCTATATATATACAGTGAAAATGAAAAGTTCTACCCAAAACCTAAAAAATAATAATGAAATAAAAGAAAGTGTACTAAATATATATATGAATCTAACTATATGGAGCAGTAGCTCAAATAATTAGAGGAAAGAAGTCCGCCTAGATCTAGAAATCGAACGTAGAGGACAAAATGAAAAAGTGACTCGCTAGACTAAACTTCTAAGTAGATCAAACTAGCTAGCTATATTGGTATTGAGCTTCCAGCTCAAGTAAATATAGTAGGTAAAGTCAACAGAGAAACTAACTAGGCTGGAACTTCTAGCTACCTAGGATCTAAGTAAAAAAATCGACGCGCGTTTCGGCGCTATGTGGCGCCTTTTTCAAGAGTGACGAGGGAAACCCCTCGCCGCCAAGGTTTATAAAGGGCTAGTGCCCGCCTCTCCCGTGACGTCATGGCCAAACACATGAGGCCGCGTCCGGGTTTGATATGTTTAAACTACATTGCTACTTTCATCCATTGTCTTTTTACAAACGAAGAACAAATAAGTATTGTACAACAAGGAATGGAAACAAAAAAAAAATAAAAAATGGAAAGAACTGAAGGCCGGGGTACCGGTCGTCTCGGCCTAACTATGGTGGTTGAGGGGGGAGGATGGGTGTAGAGGAGAGAGGGGGGGGTTTTACTTCGGTCTGTCGGTTACATTTGTAAGTTCTGTCGGCTATCCCGTCGTCATTGGTCACTATACGTTTCCCAGGGTTCCCATGTCTTGGAGAAGGCCTTGGAGGAGCTTCGGATTTGGGCCGTGAGTTTGTCCATGAGATGGCATTCTTTGATCTTGTTGATCACTATTGCCACTGACGGGGTGTCTTGCTGCAGCCAAGTTTGGGCTACTGCTCTCCTGGCTGCTAGCGCTATTTTATTGAGGAGTTGTTGGTTTGGTTTGGGCCAGTCCTTTTGGGGTCTGGCTAGTAGGAAAGACCATGGGTTCAATGAGACAGGTCTGTCTATGATTTGGGTTGATAGTGTTTGTATGGCTTTCCAAAATGTTTGAATCTTGGGGCAGTGCCACATGTGGGCATATGTCCCTTTCTCTCCGCAGTTGCGCCAGCAGAGGTCTGTGGGTGTTTTTTTCATGTGGTACAATTGGACTGGGGTGGTATACCACCGAAACATCGTTTTGTACGATTGTTCCTGCATTGTGACGCATATGGAGGTTTTGGCATTTGCCTCCCATATGTCTTGCCAATCTATGCCCTCCAAAACCTCCCCGAGATCATCTTCCCATTTGTCTGTGTAATGGAGGGGGCACCATTCCCGCGTGGTGGAGCAGAGGTGGGAGTACAGGAGGGATATCATGCCCTTTTGGTAGTGTTCGGCTAGGCATATTTTTTCGAAGAAAGTCAATTTAGCCTTGGCCGCTATTTTAACTGACTCTTGGCTAGCATAGTTCCGGAGCTGGAGGTACCTGAAGAAATCTGCAGGGGTCAGAGTTGTTCTAGTTTGTAATTCCGAGAACGGAATTATTTCTTCTCCTATGTATAGTTGGTGGACGCGTTGGAGATCTGCTCTCTCTAGGCCTTTGAAATCTCTAGGCCTCATACCTGGGATAAATGCCCTGTTTCGGTATATGGGGGTGAGGGGAGAGGTTATTGTTGTAAGTTCGTATTTTATAGCGTATCTGTCCCAGATATGAATTGAGTTGGTGATGGCTGGGCAGTTGGTCCTTATGAGTGCTCTGTGCTCTTTAGGGGTCCAAATGTAAAACTGTGGGAGATCTGATTTCATTATCAGAGTTTCCAGGTCGACCCATCTCCTGGAGTCTGGAGGGGAATGCCACAGTGCTATTTGTGTGAGGTGGGCTGCAATGTAGTAGAAATGTAGGTGTGGAAGGCCGAGGCCTCCTCTCGCTTTGGGGCAGTATAGTATATTGCGGGCTACCCTGTGTCTCTTGTTGTGCCAGATGAAGCGGTCGATAGCCCGCTGTAATGGCTTTAGGTCATTCTTCGTTATGGGAATGGGTAGGGCTTGAAAGAGGAAGAGGATCCGGGGTAAGATATTCATCTTGACCGAGTGAATTCTCCCGATCCATGATATTGGTTTGTCCGCCCAGGTCTCCATGTCCGCTATAAGTTTGGTGATCATTGGGGAATAATTTAAGTTGTAAAGTGCCGCGGGGTCTGCCGGCAATTTTATGCCGAGGTAGGAGAGGAAGGTTGGTGATATGCGTATGTGGTAGTCTGATGTGATTTGGGTGATCTCGTTTTGAGTGAGGAGGAGTGGGAGAGCACTGGATTTCTCCATGTTGACCTTGTAACCCGATATTGAGCTATAGGTCCGTAATAGGGGCATTAGTGCTTGCATGGAGCTGATGGGGTTAGTCAGTGTGAGGAGGACATCGTCCGCATATGCGGAGACTGTGAATTCTTGGTCCGTTATGCTCACCCCTGTAATGTCTGGGTGTTCCCGGATTGCTTGTAGGAGTGGTTCGAGAGTTAACACAAAAAGCAATGGTGAGGGGGGGCAGCCTTGTCGAGTGCCGTTGTGTATGTTGAAACGTGGACTGTTTGACCCTGTCAATTTTATTTGCGCTGTTACGTCTGTGTACAGTGCTCGGACTGTCGTGATGAAGGGGGGGGGGGTTATGTTTAAGTGTTCCAACAGTGTGAACATGTAGGGCCAGTTCACCCTGTCGAACGCCTTTTCGGCGTCAAGGGAGAGGGCTATCGCTGGTGTTTTGGTTGCAGCGAGTGTCCATATCGTGTCTATGTTTCGCCTCGTATTTTCGAATAGTTGTCTGCCGGGGATGAACCCGACCTGGTCTGCGTGGATAAGGCGAGTGAGGTGTGGGTTAAGTCGCGTTGCAAGTATTTTGGCTAAAATTTTACTGTCGTGGTTTATGAGTGAAATGGGTCTGTACGCCTCTGGTCTCGTATGGTCCTTATCTGGTTTGGGTAGTAGTATAATGTGTGCTTGCGTCATGTCCTTAGTTGGTGGGGATCCCTCCATTAAATCATGGAATAGGGTTTCCATGTGTGGCAGCAATTCCTCTCGGAATGTTTTGTAATAGCTTCCCTCGTAGCCATCTGGGCCCGGGGCTTTGTTGCTCTTTAGTGAGGAGATGGCCAAGTTAATTTCGTCTTTGGTGATTGGGGCTGATAGCTCCGCTATGGCTGTGGTGTGGAGTTTGGGTAATTCAAGGCGCGTCAGGAATTCTGATGTCCTTTGGCAAGTGGCTGTGGTCGGGGTGCTGCCTTGGGGAGCGTGATTGTATAGGGCATCATAGTAGGATGTAAAGACTTGTGCTATCTCTGTCGGCCTGGATTTCATGGTACCATCTGGGCCTCGTATGGATGTGATGTGAGGGCTTTGTGTTCTGGGGCGTAATGTGCGGGCTAGCAGCGTGTCCATTTTATTTGATTTGTCGTAATACGTCCGCTTGGTCCATGTCAGTGCCCGCGCTGTGTCGTCTATCAGCAGTTGTCTAATGGATAGGCGGGTGTCGTGCAAGTGCTTGCGGATTTGGGTCCGTTTTATGGCGCTGCTCCGCCGTTCGGAGAGTGTCCAGTAGCTGGGTGAGCTTTTGGGTTTTGATTTTTTTTTTGTGTGTCGCTATCTTGATAAGGTGGCCGCGGATTACAGCTTTGTGTGCGGCCCAGACTACTGTCATTGGGACGTCAGGTGTTAGATTTTCTGTGAAGTATGTGTTTAATTGTTTCTGGACATCCGCTACGACCAGCGGGTCTTTGAGCAGGGAGGCGTTAGGCCTCCATGTCCAAGGGGTAGGGCTGAGTAGGCCGTCTAGGTAGATAGCAATGTCTGCATGGTCGGACCAGGCAATGGAGCCTGTTTCCGTTTTTCGAGTTTTCGTGAAGCCTGTTTGGTTAGTCAGAAACATGTCTATGCGCGAGTAGGTATCGTGGGGGGGAGAGTAGTAGGTATAGTCTTTGTGACTGGGGTGTTGTGCTCTCCACGCGTCTATGAGACCCGTTTTACTGATGAAGTTATGTAGTTGTTTATCTTGAGCACCCATGCCGTGGGATCTGGCCATACCCGGGCGCGTGCTTCTGTCGATTGCTGGGGAGGGGGTGGCGTTAAGGTCGCCTCCCAATACCACCACACCACCAGGCAGGGATATAACTGTGTCTGCCATCTGGTTCCAGAATTGTGAGGATGGGGCGTTGGGGGCGTAAATGTTGATCAAGTGTATGGTTTGTGAGTATATTCGGCTTGTGGCTATTATGTTTCTTCCCTCTGGGTCACTTACCACTTGGGTGATGTGCATAGGGCATCGTTTGTGGAGTAGAATAATTACCCCATTTCGTTTTTGGAAGGCTCGTGCCTCAGTGGCTACCCGGTAGGTATGATCGCGGAGGGAGACCTGGGCGGACCTGGGTAAGTGCGTCTCCTGCAGGAACGCGATGTCCGGATTTAGTCTCTTCAGTTCTCTGAAGAGCGTGCGCCTCTTACGTGGGGCAATGAGGCCCTTCACATTGAGTGAGGATATTTTTATTGTCATGGTGGTGGGTTGGAAGCGTCTCTCATGAGGTAGAGATGTTGGGACGTGACGCGGGGCATTCCCCTCTCCCACCTCCGCTCCCCACGCTTGCTGCGCAGGCGGGATCTCCGCCGGAAGTAGGTCAGTGTTGCGTTTCGTGACCGAGTTATGTTTGGGGTAGGGGTTGGGTTGTATTGTGTTGATGGGGGAAAGGAGTGGAGTAGGGAGTAAGGGGGTGAGGATGAGGTACAATCGTACCTGTCTGGACTTATGAGGTGCCAGACTGTGTGGGGGTACCTGGACCCTGGCCTCCTTCCGGTCTCTTGCCGTCTGGGGGGTCTGGGTCATGAATCAAGTCACCGAGGGTGACCCCTATACCATAAAACTGTCATTTAAATTATGCGCTGAGTGACGCTAGTGTCGAGGAAAGGTTATGGGTATTAGTTTCCCTACTTTTATGTCCCAGTTTGCGGGAGGACTATGCTGCTGTGGTTGTGTGGTAGGGGGGTCTGTGGACCTCCCAGTCTAGGCATTTCTAGACACAGTAGTATAAAGCGCGTGATGGGGGGGGATGAGGAGGGAGAGGGATGCGCTGCCCTGTTGGACACCCAGAGTTAGGTCCATAGACAGTGTGTGTGTAGGAGTATAGAGTAGAACTGGACTATCCTGTTTTCCTAGTGCGAGGGTGACTGACAGTCGGGGTAAAGCGCTATAGGCGCTGATGCTAAGCCTGGGGTGATGGGTGGTGGGGGGGGTGGGATTGCTGTACCCTGTCTGCCCCGTATTCTGTGTTGTACGGACGTACGGTACATCAGGGTGTGATGGTGCGCTGAGCTAATCTCTTGTGTGGCTGAGTCCAGCTTGACCCGTGCTACTCTCGTTTCCCATGTGCACCTCTATATCTGACGCCTTATCACCTAATGTGTTCCTTAGCTGAAGGTTCCCGTGTGGGGTGGGGTGGGTTGTTGGAAGTGGGGGTGGACACATCGTTGTGTTTGATCCAGGGTTAACATTGCATAATTTGCAGTACAGGTATCACATATACATACATGCTTATATCCTCATCATTTGCTCTGAAGTAATACTAGGCCATTTGCCTATAGTGCATGGCTTCTCGCCTCTCTATGTGACTGGTTTACCATGTGACATCATCGTTAGGCAGTGGCATTGCTTAGTAGGTAGCCCTGAGGGTGTGAGTGTGGTAGGTCCTGCCGTGACCGTTTCTGTATGTTAGTAGTGTGGTGCCGTGGGTAAGCGCCCGTCTCAGAGGCAGGGCCTGTCGGAGCGTGTGTGTCGGCGGGTGTGGCCTTGTTTCAGATGCGATCCCTGATCGTGTTGAGTGGTGTATATTTTTTAAAAAAATTTTTTGAGAAGTGTGTGCTTGTTGGTGTTCCCCTACTGCATGCGTGTCAGAGTAGCTGTGACAGGTTCGTATGGGGTGTATACTACCATAGCCCAATGAGTCACATTTGTGTGTGCTAGGAATACATTACAGTTCGGTTGGCCGGAGGTGATGGCGGTCGTATTGAAGGCGATCTGTGGATAATCCTGCCGTCAGTCCATGCAGGGTCTTCTGCCGTGCCTTTGCCCGGGGTGACGCCTCCTGCAGGGCGGTGGAGTGGCCCCGTTGATGCAGGTGAGTAGATGTGGGGCAGTTCGCTGAGGAGAAGTTCAAGTGCTGTACATGGGTGGTAGACGGGTGCCTGTCGGTCTCAGTGTTGCTCCGTGGTGAGTCATTAAAGGTTGTCCGGATGTGGGGAGTCTTCTTGGGCTTCTTTGCTGTAGTGGGCTCGTTGCGTTCTGCTGGTCTCTGATGTGTTAGGCTGAGGGGTGATGAGGGCAGCGGGTGGGTCCAACGTTGTGGGCAGCGGTCCGAGTTCATTTTATTCCGCTGCCATGTGCCACTCTCGTGGTAGGGTGTGGAGTGCTGGGAGTCCGGCTGTAGGTAGGCTGAGGTTATTGGGGGGCACAATGCCCAGGTCTCGCAGGAATGGTGTGGGATTTGCTCCTGGTAGGAGGGTGTGGGGCCTACCCTGTTTGAATACCATCAGCTTGAAAGGGTGGCCCCATGCGTATCTCACTGAGTTGGCTCTGAGCAGATCTGTCACCGGACGCCATTCACGTCTGCGCTGGAGCGTGATGGGGGCTAGATCTTGAAAGAGGGATATTGCTGCATTGTTATGGGTGATCGGGGTGTCTCTAGCCTTCCTAAGCACTGCTTCCTTAGTCTGAAAGTGAAGAAATCGCACTATAATATCTCTGGGCCGTGTGACATCCTCTCTGCGGGCGCGCAGGGCCCTGTGCGCCCTGTCTATATGCCAGTGTTCGTCTGGAATATCTGGCAGGAGGGGTCGGAGGAGGGCCAGTATGGTTTCCGCAAGAGGGCCTTCATCTGCTTGTTCTGGCAGGCCTCTTATGTGTAAGTTGTTACGGCGCGAGCGGTTTGCAAGATCTTCTAGTGCGGCTTCTGATGCCTCCAGGCGGGAGGTGAGCAAGTTGATGTGGTCTGTGGCCGTGTTATGTGCTGCCACTGTAGTCTCGACCCGCTGCTCCAATTCGGAGGTCCGGGCCCCCAGTGAATGTATCTCCTCCATGACTGCCTTGGAGCTCCGCTCTATTTCTCGGGCGAGGAAGGACTTCATTTCAGCGAGGATGTGCGCCGTTTCGGGTGCTGGTGAGCGCTGTGTTGGGGACGGTGTATCGTCCGATGGAGTGTCAGGGGCCCGCAGATTGTCCTCGGCGCCATCTTGAGAGTCTTGGCGGCAATGGCGTGAGGCCGCGAAAAGGTCTTTCACCGTTGCTGCAGCGTCGGTGTGCTTTTTGGGCTGCTTCCTAGGTGTGCGTTTGTCCATCTTCAGTGGTGAGGGAGATGGCGGGGAAAAGCTATAAGTGGATGGCTAATATTAGCTATTGGTATCGGGGTCGGTGAGGAACGTTACACGAACACGTCCATCTTGGTTCCCGGTCAGGCCACGCCCCTCTCTCCACTACTTGTTTTTCAGTGGGCAAAAATAGCTGATCTGAAAGAATCTCCAATTCAGCCACAGTCATGGGCGTACGTAGGAATTGTTCCAGGGGGGAGGGGGCATAATTGTAATGACATCCATGCTTGGTCCCTTTTTGACAGTGTCATGAAAGGGAAGGGGCATACTCATCACATAAAGCCAGGGTGAATAGCGTTATCACAACTATGGTGTCAGGAATATATGTTTGTACTCCTGACACTATAGTGTTCCTTTAAGCAAATTAAAGGAACATTCTGGTCACCATAACAACTTCATCTAAATGAAAATGCTATGATGCCAGGAAGCCCCTGGGCGCTCTCTTTCCTATAAGGGGTTAAACCGCTTTCAAATGGTTTAACTCCAAAGGCTTCCAACAGCTCCAATTCGCCCAGTGGTATGCCCCACCTACCTGATCTATAGGCTGTCTCCCCTCTCCCATGCCTCACTTACCTGATCTATAGGCTGTCTCTCCCCCATCCTTCACTTACCTGATCTATAGGCTGTCTCTCCCCCCCATGCCTCACTTACCTGATCTATAGGCCATCTCTCCCCACATGCCTCACTTACCTGATCTATAGGTTGTCTCTCCCCCCCATGCCTCACTTACCTGATCTGTAGGCTGCCCCCCCATCCCTCACATACCTTATCTGTAGGCTGCCTCCCCTATCCCTCACTTACCTGATTTATAGGCTGTCTCTGCAGTCTGGGAGTTGCTGGCTGCAACTGTGGATTCAGTCATGAGAGAGAAGCAGGGATAAGATGTAGCTTCCTATCCCTGTCTCTCCTGTATTTTCAATCTCACACGAAAAAAAGCAGAACAAGCTGAAAAATCCAGGGAGTGCAAGATTCTCGCCCTTGCGGACGCCCATGGCCACAATCACAACTTTTTGCTTCAATGTTGCCATTTGGAATAAAATATATAAAATAGTAAAAATTCAGAGTTTTGTGAATTACCGTGTTTATTTTGCAGACATACCTTGACTTTAAATTGCAGAGATGTGACACCAGGAGCTGTGTGCTCCATGATTGAGTAGAAAGTGGCAGAACCAATGCATCATCGCTGGGAGCCTTTCAGAGATTTCCTGTCTATCAGTCACCTCAGCCTGATACTTTCATTTCTCCTGTCCATCTTCATCTCCCGTGGTTCTACCAGTAAGTATCAACTGGCCACAAACCTTTCCACAGATCTTGTGTTCCTGTCTAATGTGCACCTGGATTCCGACTTTGTCACCTGTGTGTTTGCTCCTTAGGATGTGGGACATATGAGGGTTTTTTTGCTGACAGCCTCAATAGCAGATTGTCTACTAGCACTTCATTCCCATGGCTCGTGTCTCTGCGCGGTCTGAATAGATCTCATCTTGCAGTGGGAACCATAATCAGCAGTTCGTGGATTGTAAGCGCACCTTCCAGCCTACATATAAGGTTTGCTTTTCAGAGCTGTGAGCAATGATGTGATGACTGAGAGGATGCACAAAGCAGTAATCTGTATCACTGAATATGTTCTTGTACTCTAATACCCAAAGCCTTTCCAGTACTCCAATACCCAAAGCTAGTACAGTACCCCAATACCTGGAGTCATTCCAGTGCCTCAATATCTGGAGCAATTCCAGTACCCCAATAGCCAGAGCCATACCAGTACCCCAATCCCTGAATTTATTCCAGTACCCCAATATCCAAAGCCATTCCAGTACCCCAATCCCTGAATTTATTCCAGTACCCTAATATCCAAAGCCATTCCAGTACCCCAATCCCTGAATTTATTCCAGTACCCCAATATCCAAAGCCATTCCAGTACCCCAATAGCCAGAGCCATTCCAGTACCCCAATCCCTGAATTTATTCCAGTACCCCAATATCCAAAGCCATTCCAGTACCCCAATAGCCAGAGCCATTCCAGTACCCCAATACCTGGAGTCATTCCAGTGCCTCAATATCTGGAGCAATTCCAGTACCCCAATAGCCAGAACCATTCCAGTACTCCAATCCCTGACTTTATTCCAGTACTCCAATATCCAAAGCCATTCCAGTACCCCAATACCCAAAGCCATTCCAATACCCCAATAGCCAAAGCCATTCCAGTACCCCAATAGCCAGAGCCATTCCAGTACCCCAATCCCTGACTTTATTCCAATACCCCAATCCCTGAATTTATTCCAGTACCCCAATAGCCAGAACCATTCCAGTACTCCAATCCCTGACTTTATTCCAGTACCCCAATAGCCAGAGCCATTCCAGTACCCCAGTGAAAGGTGTGATCTCATACTTCGCTGACAATCGGTAGGCCTGTTGCGATTAAGAGCTGCTGTTTGTTGGTGGAGGGTTTATGCTTAGAGAGTCATATAAATAGCAATTACAGGTGATGGTTCTCCACCAGTTCCTGAGTGGGATTTGGGCCTAAAACACAGACAGTATTTTAGCTATAATGAATCAGATGACTAACTCTACAATGAGAAGTGACGCATGGAAATATTGTAGATCTCATCCTTGTTTCCCTCTCTTAATTTAGACATAATCTGCAAGCTGTTGTGGGCATCACCCATCTGGGACCCCAGGAAAGCGAGAACCAATACTATCCCATCCGTAAGGTCATAGTTCATCCAGATTTTGATGAGGTTCTCCTTGTTAATGATTTGCTGCTGCTGCTGACAGAGCAACAGATTACATTTGGGCAGTGGGTACAGCCAATTTGCTTTCCTAATCAGGATCCGGAAAACAATGCCTTCGCCAGCTGCCAGGTGTCTGGCTGGAGGGGACCAACTGCAGGAGGATACCAACTAGAGCAGGTGAGGAGGCGAAGGTATTTTATAATCTATGGCACACTTTAATCCTTTCAGATAAAATGTAATGGACGTTTTCTGTAATTATACAGAGAGCCAAAATTCAGAGTAAGGTTTGAGGAATCAATAATTTTTTTATTAATGAACCAATATCAATGGTATTACACACAATGACTGCTTAAGGTATGGAGAATTGTTTGACTAGGTACGGAAGATGATATTTTTTAAATGAGCTCCATTTGCCGCCTCATACAGTTTGGATCGTTCGATTATATTCTTCATAACATTAGTTAATGTTTGAGGCTCTAACACCTGAATTTCTGCATGGATATTCTTTTGAGCTGCTCAAATGTACGCGGTTTGTTCGCATACACCTGCTCCTTCAACTATCCCCACAGGAAATAATCGGGAGCTGAAAGGTCGGGCGAATGTGGTGGCCATTTAATCTGGGAATTTCTTGAAACTGTCCGCTGTCTATGGGCAATAGCCCCAACCTGTTGAAACCACATATTGAGACAATTTTCCACTGCAGAAAACATTTTCAATCATATCCCAATATTTCACCAATAAACTTCCACTATTTTTATTCGTTCCTTTGTGAAATTACCCATGATGAATCTTCCAAGACACAGTTATATGTACCTGTGACGAAGTGCCCTTCGCCACCTGTGCCTGGAGAGGACTGCTTGCCCGCCTCTTGCCCTGTGACTATGGCCCCTGGGATGTATTGCCCTTTAAAGACATGATTTGGGCATAATGGATTTGTGTTGTGCTGCTGCTGGCCCTTTAAGAACCATCTGGGGACATACTGTGGAGTTACTGGGTGGCCACCATTTCCTGTATCAGAAGCACATGGTGAGAACAATGGATGGCGGCCATTTTAACTCACAGACACTGTTTGGACTTTTCAACACGGTGCCATCTCGCCAGTATTTGGTGCACAGAGACATCGTGCAGTGGTTTTGGACTATACAGCAGGGGACACATTATACAGTGATTGTTTTCATTTAGCCTGTATATGTTCTGCAGAATCTGCATTAAACTGTATTTTCCAAAGTACTGAACGGATCTGGGTGTATTTTGGATATGTGGTTCACCCAGATCCCCCGGTTCCAAGGATATACTTTTTATGGGGTTATTGCATGTTTTGGGGTCCCTGTGTGTTTTATGAAACTGTATTGTTTCTGGCCAGCAGATAATTGAGCTTTGTGTATTGTAGAAACTCAATTATCTAGCCTGGCCCAGAGGAGGAGTTTTGTGTTGCATAAATTGTGAGTTCTGTGTGCCAGTAAATCAGTCTTGTTCCAGCATTAAGCCTTGGCTCATGTTTGGGGGAAGGGATACCTACACTCTGGGGATTGCTATAATCACTTACTCCCCAGAGGAAGCTCTTGCAATAGCTTGATTTGTTCCTGTTCCTGCTCTCTGGGGAAAGAGAGGTTCACCCACTGGAAGCTGGATCCTGGCCTTGGGTCCAGGGTGGGTGGAAACAGCAGAGACCCCGGCGCAGTTGCATCGCTGGAAGTGGGGTCTGCAGTGCTGATGGTGTCGGTTGGAGTGCTTGGAGTCCTCAGCGAGCACTAGGAGCATCGATTGGCGGAGGTACTCAGTCGGAGTGCCAGCGTTCCGTCACATTTGGTGGCAGCGGTGGGATGGCGTCCTAGTGCGAGGACCAGCAGCTCGGAGACACCGGTAACGTGTGGAGTTACGGATTTATAATTGAGGGCAACGCTAGCACTTGTGCAGCGACCCTGGCTTCAGAGGAACTCAAGGGATAGAGCTAGCTACGGGCAGCGTCCCTATCCACAGCAACATGGAAGAGGAGTTTCGCTGGAGGTTGCAGCAGCACTAGGCCCAACAGGACGGGCCTGTATCAGAGGAGTGCATACTGGACTGGAGAGATGTCACTCGTACGGAGATGTGGCACGATGGGCGGTGGGGAGAGAAGTAGCCCCAACCTGCGTCCTGAGCAACCACTCATATTGAGACCGGGCAAGTGGTTTTCACTGCAGAGGCCTATGAAGATTTAGGATGCCCCACAATCATATCCCAATAGGGACTATTTTTACGTTCCTTTGTGCATGATGAATCTTCCAAGACACAGTTATATGATGTGTGACGAAGTGCCCTTCGCCACCTGTGCCTGGAGAGGACTGCTTGCCCGCCTCTTGCCCTGTGACTATGGCCCCTGGGATGTATTGCCCTTTAAAGACATGATTTGGGCATAATGGATTTGTGTTGTGCTGCTGCTGGCCCTTTAAGAACCATCTGGGGACATACTGTGGAGTTACTGGGTGGCACCATTTCCTGTATCAGAGGCACATGGTGAGAACAATGGATGGCGGCCATTTTAACTCACAGACACTGTTTGGACTTTTCAACACGGTGCCATCTCGCCAGTATTTGGTGCACAGAGACATCGTGCAGTGGTTTTGGACTATACAGCAGGGGACACATTATACAGTGATTGTTTTTCATTTAGCCTGTATATGTTCTGCAGAATCTGCATTAAACTGTATTTTCCAAAGTACTGAACGGATCTGGGTGTATTTTGGATATGTGGTTCACCCAGATCCCCCGGTTCCAAGGATATACTTTTTATGGGGTTATTGCATGTTTTGGGGTCCCTGTGTGTTTTATGAAACTGTATTGTTTCTGGCCAGCAGATAATTGAGCTTTGTGTATTGTAGAAACTCAATTATCTAGCCTGGCCCAGAGGAGGAGTTTTGTGTTGCATAAATTGTGAGTTCTGTGTGCCAGTAAATCAGTCTTGTTCCAGCATTAAGCCTTGGCTCATGTTTGGGGGAAGGGATACCTACACTCTGGGGATTGCTATAATCACTTACTCCCCAGAGGAAGCTCTTGCAATAGCTTGATTTGTTCCTGTTCCTGCTCTCTGGGGAAAGAGAGGTTCACCCACTGGAAGCTGGATCCTGGCCTTGGGTCCAGGGTGGGTGGAAACAGCAGAGACCCCGGCGCAGTTGCATCGCTGGAAGTGGGGTCTGCAGTGCTGATGGTGTCGGTTGGAGTGCTTGGAGTCCTCAGCGAGCACTAGGAGCATCGATTGGCGGAGGTACTCAGTCGGAGTGCCAGCGTTCCGTCACAGTACCTGAAGCAAAATAATTTAACTACTAACAAGTAAGTTATTTGCCTGTCAATTCATACTGTGAAATATGGCCCACCCTGTGTTTGTCCAGTGTTTTGATTTCTGCGTGAACTGTGCCTTCTCTGTACTGGTTGTATGGAGTGCAAATAAATACATTCTTAAATCCATTAACTTCAAAACGTCCATTCATTGGTTTCTGCAGTTGATCCAAAAAATTTCTAGCCTAGCTTCATGACTACAATTTCCCATCCCCCTTATTCATTTTACAGCCCTCTTTGCACTTTTTCTAATGCCTCAATTTTTAATTAAGAATTTTTTTTTTTTTTTAACACTGGTGCCCAAAATTACACCGCACATTCAAGATAGGTTTTGCCATGCATTTGTAAAGCAGAAAAATAATAGCTTCATCACCTGATTTGATAGCCTGTTTTATGCAGTGAATAAGAGGTTAAAAGTGTTGAGATCTAAGTTGCCATCTTTGCTTTAGACAGGACTCTGTGGCACGGACGCCTGGTACAAGATCCCGGTAGATAACATAGCCCCGTGTCCCCTACGACATAATACGGCAACAGAGTGTTTTGGCTACTATGGTCAGGATCTCAGCCCTGGCCAGGAGGTAAGACATCATGAGCATGGGATCTACATTGGTGCAGAGTATAGAGTATCTGAAAAGCCCCCCCCTCTTCCCCAGCACTGTTGGCACTGGCATTGAAGGCAATGAGGCAGATGATGGAGAGCCACAAGTAATGATAATTTAGCAGGTCCATCATGATTTTTACTATAGATTTGCTTTTTTGGGGGTTCTGCTAATTTAGTTATACTTGTGTAGGATACATTTAAACAATCTCTCTAAAGCTCATAGCACAGAGGGGTGATTTAGAATCCTAGTAATGTGTAGAATTAACAAGGGGATTACAGAATTTTAACCAGCATAACTAAACTGGAAAAAAACAACTCTTCAATTTTGCTAGTTTAGTTATTTTGCAATTACCCAGAAATTGTTGTGTGCCCCCCCGCAGGGTGACATTCTGCATGTGGTGTAAGACATCTCTGGGATGTTTCCACAATGGTTAGTGTGTCTTGGTAAATCTGTCCCACAGACCTGCTCTCCTCCATGAATGCATTGATTGTGTGTGTCTCCCACAGGTTAAAAAAGGGAATCCTGTGTCCTGTAAGATAACAGGCAGTGAGCGGTGGGTGCTGGCTGGAGTAATGACTGGTAACGGTATCATGCCATATGGCCCTTTCCTTTACACACGAACGTCCCATTACACTGACTGGCTGAAAGCCTGTACCTCGAAGGAGGACGATTCTTTCGTGCCGTCAGTTAACATAATTAAAGTGATCATCAATGGCTCCCAAGCACGTTCCCTGTACAGATCCTCCAATACGAAGGCAGAGAGTAATTCCAATGAATCGCCACAGTTTTATGATTATTATACACTGAATGAAGAGCCGGACATAAATCCCGGACACAGAGTGCAGCCTGTCCGTGCCTTCACTTTGCTGCTGTACTGCTGGCAGACATGGGTGCAATAAGGTGAACAATGTTAAAATCATCCAATAAAAGGATCTCATGAAATCCCAGCACTTCAAGTTATCTCTTGTTTATTGTAACCAACTAATTCCTTTAATATTTCCCACGACAGCTTATTCTATCACTGGGTAATAAACCAATGTGAAGCAGTAAGAAGTAAAAAGAACCACAGAGACTACTTCCTGCACTGGACAGAAAGACCATAGTGGAGACAGGCACTTAGCACACATATTACAGTAACCTAGGCATCGAACAATTTTTATTAAATCAATTCTGTTCTTTGCTGAAACATTGGGTCAGATGGCTATCTACCCTCTGGGGCTTCCTGGTATTTAGCCACCTTGCCAGCTAGGGTTTCATTTGGGCACAACTGGCTCCCTTCAGCTGCTCCCACTCTCTTCGGTAAGCCTTCAATGAGAGCTGTAGACAACACCGACAGATTATAAAATTTTACAGCATGGTAAAAAAAAAAAAATAATGCATTTTAAATAGCAGGAAAAAAAATGAATTCAAAATACAAGTGTTGCGAAAGTAACCTCGCCACTGGTTTTTGGAGGGGTCTGTTTGCCAGCCCCCTACCCTGTGACTATGGTCCCTGTGTTAAACCGTTAAACCCTGGTAGAAAACACTATTTGTGCTTGTCAAAACAAGACAAATGAAGGTTGCGCCAAAGCTGGCTGTAGTCCAGCTAATATGAAGAAAGTCCAAAGTAATATTCAAACAAACGCTTTAGTGGAGCCTGATGGGGCATCAACAGCCTATGGAGAGGGATATTCTCTGTGTGGATCAAATAGAGATGGAGCTGGCAGTACCCTTTATCTCATTTTCTGTTGTGCATGTACAGTGTCTAATATCTGCAACACTCCATTTCCTCTCTCTGATTACCACCTTTTAACATTTGCTCTCAAGTACCCCCTCACCCAACAACCTCAGGCTAACACCCCTCAATTCAGGAGGATCCTTAATTCTATTGCCCTCCAGCAGCTGTCAGCTGATATTGATTCACAACTGCTATCCATCCCTTCCCTCTCCTGTCCCTCACTGGCCATCTCCACATATTACACTACCCTCACCTCTGCCTTGAATGCTGCAGCCATGCTCCAAACATGCACCTCGAGGAGGACTCGCCCCCAACCGTGGCATAATAAATAAACACGCTATCTGCAAAGTTATTCCCGTTGTGCTGAACGCTCATGGAGGAAGTCTCACACCCAGTCAGACTTTCTCCATTATAGATTCATAGTGTGTTCATACAGCGCAGCCCTTTCCAAACAGTCCTACTTTTCCTCTCTCATTAGTTCATGCTCCCGCAATTGCAGGCGTAACTTTGACATCTTTAACTCTCTTCTTCGCCCTGCTGTGGCCATCCCCAAACTAACCTTACAGCCGACAGCTTTGCATGCTACTTTACCAACAAGATTGAACAGCTAAGGAAAGTATTCTCCCCACCTTGCCGTTCTCTTTCTCAACCACACATAGATCATGCCTTTCCTTTCCT